GGGGGGGGGGCGGACGCCCTCACCTGGACCCGCCCCTGATGATGGGCCTAGGACATTTTGAATCTCAGAGGGTCTAGGGCCTGTTCGTTTATGCGGAACAACCGGTAGGTCCGTTTGTAAATGTAATATTTTCAGGTATAAATCCTGGCGGACCTGAAAACGTTTATGCAGGTCTTGCAAGGCTTGGTCAAGGCTCGCCTGAAAGCACCATCAGAGTATTAGGTCCGACTCTATTTCATAAACGAACAACTCTGGTCCCACCGGTTCAACCGCTTGGGTCGCGATAAACGAAAACGGGCCTAGTAAGCGCCAACTTACCCCCTCACGTCAACCGAACACCGACCTCGTCAGTGAAGTGTAGACGATAAGAAACTCAACCAACCAACCAACCAACCTGACACAAAATCTCACCTCGCATACACCCAACACCTTACCTGTATATATTAGGACTACGTGAGACGATACCCGTCTGACCCTGTTTTCTCTGTGTCGTTGCTGCACTGAAGGTTGAATTCGGAAGGTGTACGCATTCTCTCCCTTTCCCAGGAAGAACATTATATGGAATGTCGAAAGTTTGGAATATATCATTTACAATCATTTTTTCCAAGTATGTATATTATACTTATACCATTGAAAAGGTAATGGGTTTTTTTTCAATCACTGTCAATAATTATTTTTTTACGAAGGATTTTCGATTAATTCCACAAAGTGTCTCATTCGGGAATGTAATCTCCCGTGAAATATGTTTTTATAGATACAATTTATATTGAATATTGTCACCCTTTTAATTTGTAACACTCTTTATGATTGGATATCTTGCCGTGGTCTATATTTGTAAAGACCTCGCTCTGCCGGGGTCTATAAAAGCACGTGCGAGGGGAGATAACTCAAACTAGAATCTCTCTTCATAGCAACAAAGATGGCGTCCGACATACACACAAGCGTTCGTGGTTTACAAATTATTCACAGGATGAAATAGCCTACAGGCAATCTAAAACGATAGCAAATTCAACTAAACAGACACTGATGGGGTCTCTAGGGTGCTTATTGCAAAGATTGTTGTGTTTTGTCCAAAATATTGCCGAAAAGATGTCCGGTAGTGGCTACTTTGGTAGCAGGCAAGTAAGGTGACAGTACCCAAATCGGATCAGTACCCGAATCGGATCACTTTTTGCAAAAATACTTATAAATCAATAAATGTGTCAACAAATCAGTTATAACAATGATGTAGCCTTAAAATAGATAGCCATGCAACATTTTTTTGTCTAGAAACGGTTAGATTTTAAGTTCAAATAGCACTAGAATTAAAACGTAATTCAAACTCAAATGTCAGTGTTTTGATTACGTTTTTTTTTTTTTTTTAAATGGCGCGTGCGACGACTATGCATTCTCCTTTTGACTATAGGAATACATTCACACTATAGAAATACTTTTTGTCATATAAATTTTAAAGGTCATCATAAAAAGATAATATGCTGACAAAAAAAATATTCATTTGAAGTGTAAGATACTGCAAATTCAAGCCTTGGTCCGATTTGGGTCATGACATTCGCCAAAAAATGGAAACGGTGATTAGTGACTTCAGAGCGTTCGGTAAGTATCTCAAGTGCATCCTGGTACTAATTCAGTTTGTAAGAACACCTATCGTGTTTTTCTTTTGATACAACCATTGATTAATATAATTCCTCCTCAGATTTTTCAATGAATGAATAAAATGATGGGTTGGTGATCCGATTTGGGTACTTTCACCTTACAACTGAAACTCACAAAGTGCCTTATAATTTTGCAGGAAAAAATGAAATAACAGATTGTCAGGGTGACAAATTTGTTATCTCTGGTTCAGGAGGGGTCTACTGGCTCATAGACCCCTTTTGTCTTTATAGACCAGACGGGGTCTATGAACCCATATAACCAAGAGATAGCTAATAATATTGAATATGTATAATGGATTGTTTGGCAAATTCGAGTATTCATGAAAAAAACCTTACTGGCATAGTTCGCGAAATGTTGCACGCGCAAAAATTAAGGTGCTGATGCTAACAGTTTGTTTTGAACACAAACAGGAATTGGAAACTTATTTTGCGAGCTTTTGAAAATGTCTGTTTCCTATGTCAAGCAAAGAGTGTAAATGACCGGTGTCTCGACTCTAAACTGCTGAAACAACTCACTAAGACTAAAATAGTATGTCAAATTAGTAAAATAGCTGTCAAATCAGTAAAGTAGCTGTCAAATCAGTTAAGTAGCTGTCAAAAATCATAGAGAGATTTCGCCTAATTGCACTCTAATACTGCAGTCAGTCACGGGAACGGGTAACATGTTTACCCATTCCGACCCTTTTTGGATGTTAGAAGGTGCTGAGACTTTTTGGCATGATAGAAGTTATTCGGTGAACAAATTCCTGGCTAGCTTCAAACATTAGCCAGTAAATCTCATCAGATGTCTATAAATGTATAAACTCCTGCCGGGACATACCAAAGTCCTTAAAAATGGTAGTTGTTAGTCCCTGTTTAACGTTCAGCATTAAAGGAAATATCAATAACTGGTTTACCCGTTGTCAGTATAATGTGACCGGGTGGAATGCTGGATGCGTGCCTTCGGCATGGTAATTCAGTGAGATAGCACTATAAAGTCGGCATCAGATCCGCGCTATCACAAGGAAGCAAGTACACCAACATAACCTGTCACCGGGTCACATAACACACAAGCACGCATACACTACACACATGGAGGCACGTCCTTAAATGACCATAGCTGTTAATAGAACGTCAAACATAATATAAGTGATGACGTTTAATGGAAAATGTTTTAGTTATCCTGTTGTTGTTTTTTTTGTGTGCAGAATTTTGACCCTGTGTATTTAGTTAAATTAAAACTAAAAGCTGTACTTCGATAGTTTTAATAAATAATGAAAAAATGAAGGCATCAAGGCAAACTGGTAATAATTAAACAAAGCTTTGTTATAAAATCACGTTGTTTTCAGTTCGTTTTCTCCTGTAAGTTAGCATTGTGGTCAAGCTTGATACCTTCCCAAGTTTTACCGTCATCTCTCTGACGGAATAACGCCTGCATTGGGAAAAAGAAGTTCAAAGCCCAGAAATCGCCAAACACAGAACGAAAATTACGATTGATATTATTCACGTTTCGAATAGGAATAAATTTCGCCAGTTCATGCATCGTCTTTCCTTTGGAAATAATTGTCATTTGTGAGTTGAAATAGATAAATCCAATGAACCCGAACAAAAATTCTAGATACACGTGAATTATCATGACGCATATGTGCAAGGTCATTGCGTCCACTCGTCCGAACAGCCATCGGTAGAGCGCTACCGGAGGAATGAAATCCGTCCACGCGTAACTGACCGGGTAGTAAAATATCTGTAAATACTTGTACTGAAAATATCCACCAATAAGCCCAATTATCATCGCGTAAAATGTCAACACCACAAAATATCTTTGGTTTTTAAAACCGATGCAGTTTCCCACCATATAGCAGTGATGATCACGCTTCAGAATGCACGCGTCACACAATTTGCAGTGGTGTGTACGGGGCGGCTGGTAAATTTTACAAATTTCACAATATTTCGTTTCAAATCCGGATTCGTCCGCATCCGGTGACTCCATGAGAACGACAGATCCATTCTGGTTGTGTAATGACACAAAATGGTCGGGCGGATTATTCCACCAATCAGTCAGTCCCGGTAGGTCAGGCCGATCCTTGGAGGGGGAGATACTCGTGTCATAGAAAACTGTACATAAGTAGTTCACGACTCCCTGTATAGCAAGGTAGGTGACGAAAACTTTGAGATAATATCTAGTCCAATCGTCGTAGTCTTCGAATAGACACGGGATGATGTAATAGTGAAACATGAACAGTTGAGTTGGAGTCTGAAACACCATCAGATAGCGCACCCATCTCTGAGCAGATACCTTGTGACGTTTGTCAGCCTCCGGATCGTTGTAGCGTTCTCGGATTTTTCCCATCAAAGTCTGAGGTTCCTCCCTACCTCCGATGTCCAGTACCACCTCATCCGCCATTTTGGACCTGAAATTAATAAAACAAATATTGAATCATTTTATGAAAAAAACCCGAAAATACAGACAACTGCACGTAAACACGCTCATTTCGCCTCAGTCCATTTGTTTTCGTTTTTATTTTTATTTTCACTCGGATTTTGTCGTTGTAAGGTTAGGCTGTGGTATGTTTTGTTTTCCTATTTTACTTTTATGAATAAAATTAATAGGAAATTGATATTAGCCGTTTTCTTTTCTTTAAGAATCGAATTCATTTTGATGCTCAGTTTTGCATTTTGTCCCAGTCGTTTCTTAGCTATCGTTTCTATGAAGGGAGATAACTATGACACTTAGCAGTGACGAGAGAAAATGAGGCCCAAATATTTGCAATGAGGGCAGATCAATTTTGACTTTTCCAATGTTCGTTAAAGTTGTACAGACGATATTTTGTAAACAGTTTATCTTGAAATAATACCAAGCTAACATAGAAAAACAAATAGCGTTTAACAAGGAACGTAGAAGTAGAGTTACGAGATAACTGAACAGTACTAACTATATTGATAACATTGCAACAGTCAGTCTTCATAAATGCCAAGAAATCCAAATAAATATGGTACAAGGTACATTTCTTAACTTTACTTAAGGGTCCCCGCACCACTACCAAACCTTTTTACTTTTACTATGAATTGGAAATTTATTTTCTAGCATCAAAACATATTTTGGAAAAGAATTCCCTATCTTTTGGAACTTCAACTGTTTGAAATGATTTTTTTTAATACTAATATAGATGAAATATAGTCAACACCATGATTCTAAGAGTGAAAATTTAACAGGAGTATCATATAGATTTGACTCCAGACCTCCGATCATTATTTTGNCCCCCACACACACACACACACACACAAGACAAAGACAAATATAAGGGGAGGTAACTGTATGCATGAAAAACTTCAGTGGGAGTCAAAGAAGAGTTTTACAGCAACACTGCATGGGACAGGGATCCTTAAGGAATTTTTTTAACTTCAGTGTTTTAATTTGAAAGCTTTCCAGCGGGAAAATTTAAGTCAATGAACGGTTGTAAACACCCATGGGGGCGTGTGTTCATGTTTGTACATGTAATGTATATTATTCTCTTTATTTCCTCCAAAGATGAAGATTACAAAGTAATGTGGAACATATATACGAAGTATTTGGTACATATATACACGAATACATAATATGCATTACATAAATATACACTTTATATATAGGGATGTGGATATAAGGTGTAAAATAAGAGAATATTTTAGAGTAAACCTAAAAAGTTTCAATATACAGATTGTAAATTGATTTGCACAAGCCAAGTAAATTATAATAAATTGTATTGATAAGTGATACGTAATACTTACACATGACTATGTATATAAATCAATGTATCGTTGTATTTGTTAATACATGCAATACAGACGTTATTGTAACATACTAACTATAAACGCGGAAGATACATCTGTGGGTCTGGATCACATAAGGGTGGGGGATATCCCTACCTGCGAGGTGTTACGGGCCCACATATGTATACTCCCATGCATCTTAATATGTAGTATAGTTCATATAGTATCTCATGTGATATCTTTTACTAAGTGCACATAACTTAAAGAAATTCTACATTAGATATGTATGTATTCAAAACTTTTAATCATAACTATTATATACATTAAGTATAATATAGTTTACACATCTTGTACACATAAATGATGAGTTTTATCCTGAAATCATTCAACTCTTCCTCACTAATGTTGTAGGTTATATTTCCTCCAATCATTATTTGTAATATCTCATGATCTGGGAGAGAGTGTAAATAGATACTAAACAGTATATCCTTGATATTAATTATACAGCACCATATATAGTTGGTCCCTCAACTCGGAAGTATAAGTACACTGTAGCACTAGATGTGTCATTGGGTCTTGATATAAAAACCCACATTTATGACATAATTCCATGGTAGTCAAGCTACGACATTAATCGAAGTTACTTGACTTAATATATACATGTACATCGTATTTTAGGTTGATGTGTTTTTTCATGATATAATGACATTATCTTTGTGCCTATATTTTCATGTTCAGCATGTTCCACAGTACGTTTAGTTAACACACCACATTGATCAGTGTAAGCTTACTCATTTACAATACCCAAGCTAAAATTGACATCGCCACTGTTCGTGCAGCTAAATCCGGATTTAAATATACAAACTATTAAATTATATAATAAAAGAATATCACTATTTACAGTAATAAGTAAACGATTATTTACCTGACCAAAAAGGTGTTGTACATACCTGATCACGGAGGGTGTGTCCGCTGATGTTTATAGGAATATCATTTCACCTAGCACTGACCATGTCCAGACATTGGTCAATGTGTCCAAGCTCGCCGGTGTCACAGATCAATGACCACGAGTAATATCAGAGTGTGTGTACGTGTGTATAACTGTTGTTTACATGTCGTCCCTGACAACTTAAGCCCAGAACTTACTCCGATTTCAAGTTTAATTTCACCTAGAACTACACGACATGAGTTTTGACATAACGTATACCTGCTGCAAATAGGCTGGTATTCGATCACTACAGTGTAAATGTCATTATTTGAGACCTTGTGTCCACCTAAAACTAAATATAATGCGATCACTTACACCCGTCAGTTATATATGTAATACGTCATGTATTGATAAATGTGATTATGAACACAGCGTTGTGCGTGTGTTTTATTTATATAGTAGATTAAAAACGTGTCTCGTCCCGTCAGCTATGTGTGTACGGGATAGCGCAGCGCGTGAGTGTGTTAAAGAGTCATCTCCCTTCTTACAAACACGGCCAATTATAATTCTTAATTATTCTACAATTATCTTAATTACTCATTATATACGCTACCTATCATGAATACGATACCTGAGAGGAGAGACGTACATAAATATACATATTATAAGTATTTGCTGGGAGTGATATTGTATTAAAGTGTGAATATATAAACATAATATAATCGGGGGCTATAACCACAGACTTAGATAACAATCTAATTCCGTGCTATAACAGTGTAAAAATAAAAACTTACCTGCCGGAAGGGTGATGATGAAAACCGAACTCAAATGCCCCCCCCCCCCATCCTCTTCTCATAACCACCCGCCAAAAATAAATACTTGAAAACAGAAACTATTTCATGTAATTTAAACAAAAACGCATTTATTTGGATAAGAAACAAAGCAAATGCATTCCCCATACTTTGTACATATTACGTCTCTGGCAATAGTGACATTAAACATGGACTTAAATAGCACATATTCTAATTCCGTGCCATAAAGCGTTAGGGTACATTTACACGAAAAATATTGTGACCAAAGATCACTGGAGATAATGGTGCATGACATTACACGTGAATTGAGGTCAACTATTGACCAACTTTTCCTATACATGTATACATGTGGTAATATTATGCAAGTGAAGTTATAATGCCACTGTTGCTTATATCGCAGAACTAGATCGAAGTCCGTGTTTACATGTCAACTAGATATATCTATTGACTCGTTTATAATCAATATCTGGTAATAAATGGTCAACACTTAAGGTCACTGCGGAACCACACATGTCTGAGTAAATATAATGATCAATATGACATTATTATGGCGAAATTGATCTGATCAAATGACAGATTCCTATCGGGAACCATCGGCACTTTCCGTAAATGTACTTTTTCTCGCATACGGAAAGTGCTGAATGTGACAGAACCGAACTACCCTGTCGTAAAGCGGACGTAAAACCACTCACGCAAACAAACAAGATTCCAGTCACGTGATAAACAACGGGTACCGTTTGGGTCCTGTAAAGCTAATATAAAAGAGTATATATATATTTGGTATAAGCGCATGTATGTGGACGAAACGGAAGCCCAGAAAAAGAGAATTCATGTCTTATGTCATAGTGTACTTCATATATATTATGTTAATATGCCATTCAACTTCTGATCTGGTAATCCTACAAATCACAATAAGTACACTAATCTTTGTACGGGTTTATACCTGTTGGCGCTGACACGGTCAGACGTTCTTTTAAAGAGAGATGTCACACGTGTATACAAGTCAACATACACATGTGTACAGTTACACACAGTCCTGTTGATTAGGATTTTTAAAGATTTTCATATTACACCTTCCCATTTGGTCAAAAAATTGCCGTCTAAAATCGCTCACTAATTTCTAAACGCTGCTGAGTTCATAGTTACAACTTACAACTTACAACCGAATATTTTTCACGAATTGTATTTCAATATCTTGAAATCTGAATGATTACAATTTCGAGGCTAGACGTATACCATTTCAAGTTAGATCCAGTTTCACGAAACCGTTCTAATGCTCAAGCATGGATTTTGTCCTCAAGAGTTTTTTCTTGTAACACACTTGAATCATGTCAAACGATAAAAACATCAAATGGAAATATTGAAAACAGTATTCGGCTTTAAATCTCTTCAATTTTATTCCAAATCATTGACAGAATCAGATTTGATATTGATTTAGAACCTATATGAAACATATTTTCTTTTCACCTCCAGAACACATTGTTTCTTGACCTAAGTAACACAAATCTATCATTACGTCTTAACCTAAGGAACACATTTTATCTAATATCCGGAACGCTTTTTCTCCTTATCTTCGGAAGACATTGTCTCTTTACCTCCAAAGCATAATGTATCTTTACTACCCTGAACATTTTGTCTCTTTACCTCCGGATATCATTTTCTCTAAACCTCAAGTAAACGTTTCTTTTAACTTTCGAAAAATAATCTATTATTGTCTATTTACCTATGGAACAAATATAGCATTTTACCTATATGGAAAAAATTTACTGTTTACCTCCGGAACATATTTTCTGTTTTCCCTTGGAACACATTGTCTCTAACCTCCGCGGAACTTAATGTCTCTAACCTCCGCGGAACACACTGTCTCTAACCTCCGCGGAACACATTGTCTATAACCTGCGCGGAACACATTGTCTCTAACCTCCGAGGAACACATTGTTTCTTACCTCCGCGAAACATATCGTCTCTAACCTCGGCGGAACACACTGTCTCTATCCTCCGCGGAACACATTGTCTCTAACCTCCGCGAAACATATCGTCTCTAACCTCCGCGGAACATATCGTCTCTAACCTCCGCGGAACACATTGTCTCTAACCTCCGTGTAACATATCGTCTCTAACCTCCGCGGAACACATTGTCTCTAACCTCCGTGTAACATATCGTCTCTAACCTCCGCGGAACACATTGTCTATAACCTCCGCGGAACACATTGTCTCTAACCTCCGCGTAACACATTGTCTATAACCTCCGCGGAACACATTGTCTCTTACCTCCGCGGAACACATTGTCTCTAACCTCCGCGGAACACATTGTCTCTAACCTCCGCGGAACACATTGTCTCTAACCTCCGCGTAACATATCATCTCTAACCTCTGTGGAACACATTGTTCTAACCTCCGCCGAACATATCGTCTCTAACCTCCGCGGAACATATCGTCTCTAACCTCCGCGGAACACATTGTCTCTAACCTCCGCGGAACACATTGTCTCTAACCTCCGCGGAACACTTTGTCTCTAACCTCCGAGGCAAATATTGTCTCTAACCTACGCGGAACACATCTCTAACCTCCGAGGCAAATATTGTCTCTAACCTACGCGGAACATATCGTCTCTTTACAACATACAGAACCAACATTGTCTCTTAGAGCCTGCGGGCGATTTTGTCTCTTTACCTCCAGAACACATTGTCTCTTTACTTATGTAACAAATTGTCACTTTATCTATGTAACACATTGTCTCTTTACCTCCATAACACATTGTTTCTTTACCTCCAGAACACATTGAAGAAACCCCCAGAACACATTGTCTCTTTACCTATGTAACAAATCGTCTCTTTATCTATGTAACACATTGTCTCTTTACCTCCATAACACATTGTTTCTTTACCTCCAGAACACATTGTTTCTTTACCTCCAGAACACATTGTTTCTTTACCCCCAGAAAACATTGTTTCTTTACCTATGTAACAAATTGTCTCTTTATCTATGTAATACATTGTCTCTTTACCTCCATAACACATTGTTTCTTTACCTCCAGAACACATTGTTTCTTTACCTCCAGAACACATTGTCTCTTTACATATGTAACACATTGTCTCTTTACCTCCAGAATACATTGTTTCTTTACCTCCAGAACACATTGTCTCTTTATCTATGTAACACATTGTCTCTTTTTACCTATGTAACACATTGTCTCTTAACCTTCGGAACACATTGGCTCTTTGCTTCTAGAACACATCGTTTTTTTTACCTATATTACAAATTGTTTCTTTCCTTAGTAAGACATTGTCTCTTAACCTTCGGAACACATTGTCTCTTAACCTCCAGAACACATTGTCTCTTTACCTCCAGAACACATTGTCTCTTAACCTATGTTACACATTGTCTCTTAACCTTCGGAACACATTGTCTCTTAACCTCCAGAACACATTGTCTCTTTACCTCGAGAACAAATTGTCTCTTTACCTCCAGAACACATTGTCTCTTTACCTATGTTACACATTGTCTCTTTACCTCCAGAACACATTGTCTCTTTAACTATGTTACACATTGTCTCTTCTCCAGAACACATTGGTTTTTGTAACCTATATTACACATTGTCTCTTTAACTATGTTACACATTGTCTCTTAACCTTCGGAACACATTGTCTCTTAACCTTTGGAACACATTGTCTCTTAACCTCCAGAACACATTGTTTTTTTACCTCCAGAACACATTGGTTTTTTTAACCTATATTACACATTGTCTCTTTACCTATGTAACACATTGTCTCTTTTTACTTATGTAACACATTGTCTCTTAACTTTCGGAACACATTATCTCTTTGCCTCTAGAACGCATTGTTTTTTTACCTATGTTACACATTGTCCCTTTCCTTAGTAACACCTTGGCTCTTAACCTTCAGAACACATTGTCTCTTTACCTCCAGAACACATTGTCTCTTTAGCTATGTTACACATTGTCTCTTTACCTCCAGAACACATTGTCTCTTTACGTATGTTACACATTGTCTCTTTACCTATGTTACACATCGTCTCTTATCCTTTGGAACACATTGTCTCTTTACCTCCAGAACACATTGTCTCTTTACCTCCAGAACACATTGTTTCTCTACCTATGTTACACATTGTCTCTTTACCTCCCGAACACATTGTTTCTCTACCTATGTTACACATTGTCTCTTTACCTCCAGAACACATTGTCTCTTTTCCTATGTTACACATTGTCTCTTTACCTCCAGAACCTCCAGAACACATTGTTTCTTTACCTCCAGAACACATTGTTTCTTTACCTCCAGAACACATTGTTTCTTTACCTCCAGAACACATTGTCTCTTTAGCTATGTTACACATTGTCTCTTTACCTATGTTACACATCGTCTCTTATCCTTTGGAACACATTGTCTCTTTACCTCCAGAACGCATTGTCTCTTTACCTCCAGAACACATTGTCTCTTTACGTATGTTACACATTGGCTCTTTACTTATGTTACACATCGTCTCTTATCCTTTGGAACACATTGTCTCTTTACCACCAGAACACATTGTCTCTTTTCCTCCAGAACACATTGTCTCTTTAGCTATGTTACACATTGTCTCGTTACCTCCAGAACACATTGTCTCTTTACCCCCAGAACACATTGTCTCTTTACCTCCAGAACACATTGGCTCTTTACGTATGTTACACATTGTCTCTTTACCTATGTTTCACATTGTCTCTTAACCTTTGGAACACATTGTCTCTTAACCTCCAGAACATATTGTTTTTTACCTCCAGAACACATTGTTTTTTTAACCTATATTACACATTGTCTCTTTACCTATGTAACACATTGTCTCTAAACCTTCGGAACACATTGTCTCTTTACCTCCAGAACCCATTGTCTCTTTACCTATGTTACACATTGTCTCTTTACCTCCATAACACATTGTTTCTTTACCTCCAGAACACATTGTTTCTTTACCCCCAGAAACCATTGTTTCTTTACCTATGTAACAAATTGTCTCTTTATCTATGTAATACATTGTCTCTTTACCTCCATAACACATTGTTTCTTTACCTCCAGAACACATTGTCTCTTTACCTACAGAACACATTGTCTCTTTACCTCCAGAACACAGTGTCTCTTTACCTATGTTACACATTGTCTATTTACCTATGTTACACATTGTCTCTTAACCTTCGGAACACATTGTCTCTTAACCTCCAGAACATGTTGTTTTTTTACCTCCAGAACACATTGTTTTTTTAACCTATATTACACATTGTTTCTTTACCTATGTTACACATTGTCTCTTAACCTTCGGAACATATTGTCTCTTTACCTCAAGAACACATTGTCTCTTTACCTATGTTATACATTGTCTCTTTACCTCCAGAACACATTGTTTCTCTACCTATGTTACACATTGTCTCTTAACCGTCGGAACATATTGTCTCTTTCCCTCAAGAACTCATTGTCTCTTTACCTCAAGAACACATTGACTCTTTACCTATGTTACATATTGTCTCTTAACCTTTGTAACACATTGTCTCTAAAACTTCACACATTGTCTCTTAACCTTTGTAACACATTGTCTCTAAAACTTCACACATTGTCTCTTAACCTTTAGAACACATTGTCTCTTTGCCTCCAGAACACATTGTTTCCCCCACCTATATTACACATTGTCTCTTTACCTATGTAACACATTGTCTCTAAACCTTCGGAACACATTGTCTCTTTACCTCCAGAACACATTGTCTCTTTACCCCCAGAACACATTGTCTCTTTACCTCCAGAACACATTGTCTCTTTACCTGTGTTAAACATTGTCTCTTTAATACCGGGACACTATCACAATCATAAGTATATGCTTATCAAACAGCTGAGTATTCACATATAACGCGTGCATATAGGTTGTAAGGTGAATATAGGTTAAGAAATTGTAAGATAGTCCATAGATTCAATACGCTGTGACAATGGTGAGGATGTTTGAATTTGCTCTTTTTTCCATCGGCTTGCATCTTTGCGTGTCGGCCGAATCAGACCAGCACATCCTACAGGAGTTTGAGAAAATGAGAGCTGAAATGGCAGAACTTAAGAAAAGCAACGAAATAATGTCCGAGGAAATGCGAGAACTCAAAGCCATAGTAAGACAAAAATCAAACACTGGCGTACAACGTAAGTAGGGATTGGATATACCCATTTAGCACATATCATATTTTTTTAATTAACGAAACACTTCAATGAGTTTTCTATGAAATAGTTATATTTTACTTGTTGCTACGGTAATAAAAAAAAAACAATGCTGTCTCATATATAAGACTTAGTATCTAAATTTTATCCATTGATCTTCTCGATATAAACTAGTTTGGCACAGGTAGACAAGGTGGAGTTCTTCCTCGTGCCTTATTTTTGATTTTAGTGCCGATAATACTGAATAGAAACATTAGTAAGGAATATTTTGTCACGTGCACCTATTAGCCAATCACAGATTACAAAATTATACCATAATCTTCATTTCATCGTGGAAGGTAATACAGAAAAACATAGTTTTACTGTTGGAATTGCTGTTGCTGTTTGGAGGGTACATTGCACATTTTCAGGTTTATCTACCAGGTGAGATAAGGGGAGAATAAGGAGTTATTGATTGGACTGTCGTGCTACATGATCGTAAGAAGGGTCTGATGTTGTCCCCTATAGAATTGGACCTTGATACTTAGCCCGAGCTTCCTCTGTCCCTGACACCAGACTTAGACATTTTGACAGATACATGTCACCAACGATTTTTCCTCTTGCCCTGATACCAGACTTGACTGTCTGGTAAAATGTCTAATTCAGGTGCCAGGGACAGATTAAAATCGGGCTACTTTATACTCCAACATATTATGACATTATTGCTAAAGAAACAATTTTCTCCTTTACAGGAAACAAGCGAGTGTTGTCGAACTATGGAGTATCGTTCTCCGCCGAGTTGGGCAGCCATCTTCATAAGATCGTCCGAGGCCAGCCGATCGTGTATGACAGAGTCCATCTCAACTATGGTAACGGTTACAACAGCTCTAACGGTATTTTCGTCGTGCCACTGGACGGGGTGTACGTTTTTTACTGGAACCTGATGACCGACAGTACCAGCGCCCTCGACACAACTCTGATGTCATCAAGGAGCCGCCTGGCTGACGGTTATGCTCATGCAGGTAGTACAGGTAGGTCAGAGCGCTTTTAAATAATTCCAAGAGGCAATAACAACACTAACGTGCTCACAATATAATGGTTTTCGAAAGTGTAAATACAATTTTTAACCAGTCTACGACAAAAGGTAACTTCTAATTGCCCCTTTTTATGTAACCTCCTCAGCTTTGAATCGGTTCTGTAGAACATGCACTTAGTATCGGGTTATTATTGTCAAAAACGCCTTGACGAACAATAACTTTAAGCAGGGGCTTCCTACCGGAGAAACATCAATCTACACTGGAACGTTTACAGTCGTCGTTCATGTTTATAGGCTGGGTTAGGGTTAACCCTTGGTTATCGAAGACACATCTTAAAGCTGACAGTGCAACTTAAAAAGCTTTCAATTGAGGTTTTTTATGGTTTATGTTTTTCTGGTTTAGAGATTTTCCCCATCTATTCCTTTTGCCGTTTCTAAGGAAGTGTCGACATTTTAGTTTGTCCTTGCTTGGTAAAAGCCCTGTCACACCTAGCCGCGTTTCCACTGCGATTGCACGGCGTTGTTAAATTTCGCAGAGCGCCGTGAGATCGCAGGAAAAATTGATTTTTTTCATGAAGATGTCGATGTCACGGCGTTCTCACGGCGACCTTGGCGTTCCAACGAAGCTCCATGACGTTCTACCGCGTTCCTACGGAGTTATAGTTGGTGATTGTCTGCGCTCTCATGGCGCTCTCACGGCGCTCTTACTGCGCGTCCACTGCGTGCATTGAATTGTCACGGCGCCGTATAAGCGCGGTAGAGACGCAGTGTCATCTCAGAGAACGTCGTACGATCGCCGTGCAAGCGTCACCGATAACCATTGCGTTCGCACTGCGACCTCTGTGCGCGCCCGCGGCGATCATGTGGCGTTGTAGGAGACCTAACTGCGCTGCTCCGGCGACCCCGCTGCGCTCTTATCAGAACACCGAGCGACGGCGTTTGTTTTGGGCATGCTCAAAGTGAGCGCCGTCGCTCGGCGTTCTATGCGATCCCACCGCGTTCACTGGCGATGTCACTGCGTTGCCGTGGCGATGCTTGCGATTCAACTGCGCACAGATCGGCGTTCTGGATTTTTCTCGGACGCCGTGGGAACGCGGCCCTAGTGTGACAGGGGTTTAACGAGTATGGGTCTCGCTGGGTATAAAAAGCGCATTACCTTTTACCAACATTTTGTATCAGTTCATTGGATTAAAACTGAAATGGAACACATCAAAGATATCATTTATCTAAGTAAGTTAAAATTAAAGCAGTTATGCGCTTTTTATACCCAGCGAGAACCATACTCGTTACCAAGCAATGAAAAAAACAAAATGTCGGCACTTCCTTAGAAACGATAACCGAAGATATAGGGAAGATCTCAAAACCATAAAAAAAATATTTTGAAAAAAATAAAAAATAAAATAATCTCATATATTTACATTTGCATGGCATTGTCACTATATAGCCTCTTTGAAAGCTGTGTCGTTGATGGGACTGTAATTACCATGCATCACGAGACACAATTCTTAGCGTATTAATACAACACTGACCGGAACTACAATATCCAATATAAATAAACATGACGGCTGCTGAAATATCGCTGGGCATTGTGAGATTTGACAATGTCATTGTAAATTTATGTGCAAAATACAAAATGAAATAAAAAAAACACTTTTATTACAACGAAAACAAGACCAAGGTCTGCAATCTCGTACAAAATGCACATCGGTTGCAATGCCGGCAATGGAAACAATTTTAATGCTCATGCAATTTATCAGAAATATCGTATGTTACACTGCACTGATCAACAGGGGTTCGTTACAAATGTCTGAAATACACATATTCTATAGACCTACTGAAACATATGTTACAGACCTACTGATATGAGTCACAGCACACATAAACATTTCAGACATGTGTAACGATTCTGTGCTCCGTCGCAGCAAGATCACTCACTTCAAACGCTATCAGTTTCACGCGTCTCGGATCCACGGTTCCTCAGTTTCTGACGACATGTCAAATAACGATGCTGTTATAGAGTCTACCGACTGTTGTCAGGTTCCCATACAATCAACAAATACATTCACGCCTGGATTCTTCACAAAATGAGCAAAGAGAAAAGTTCGAATTAACTCCCTCGTGGAGGGCAAGGTCGGATTAACGGTGTTCACTGTATTTGTCCATGCGCGAATTTTGTTCCGGGAAAAAATCGAAACAATTTCAAATCTAACTTTCAGCTCAGAGTTCTATTGATAAACTTAAATCACCCTATATACATAACATACGCAATTCTATTGATACTGAATTGTGGAATAAAATGAAGGGTTTGTTAAAATTTCAAAGTACTACTTTGTTCGCCAATCAGCACGCGACAATACGCTGTTCAAACTATTGAACGAAATTGTGTGGACTGTCGGTAAGGCGGGCATTTTTAATTTTTAAATTATAAATTATAAGTTAAAAAAGAACATAAGAGGCAGAGAAACGTAAATATAAGTATTGAACTGTTTTGTATGGTATTTATGATCTGTTTGAATGACACAGATTTACAAGCAAACAAATCATAATGCGCTAGCACGCATTATGTTGCTTGCTTGCAAAGCTGTGTCATTCAAATAGATCATAAATACCATACAAAAACAGTTCGATGCTAAATTGAAAGCTTTTTAACTTGCACTGTCAGCTTTAAATCGATACGATCGACAGTTTAGATAAGACAGCCGACGGTTGGAATTGCAACTGTAAACTACTTTGTCCATGCGAAGTAAGTAAATATAGAAAATATAAGATTTAACGACCGGCTAAAAAACTAGCTGCTTTCACCCTTCACAGGGCTCTTCATGTTTATACATATTTTGCATCTACGTTTTCAACTTATTTTGACATAGGTGGGAACCTTATCTTGGTCCAACTAAACACAGGGGACAGTGTCTACGTCGAAAAGGCGGACAATTACGGAAACTTCCTCCACGACAGATTCACCACATTCTCCGGGTTTCTTTTGCATGAGGTAGAAGAGGCACCTATATTTGGCTGATTTTTTTAATTCAACACAAAGAATTGAAAAATTGGCTTGAAATCACTATCAAAATAGCGAACGGAAACTTCATCACGACATATACACCTAGCTCGTTCTCCGGGTTTCTTTTGCATGAGGTATATTTGGCTGAAATTTGAATCCCACACAAACAGTTGAAAAATCGGCAAGACAGCATTATCAATATAACAAACAATACACAAATTTTCGATATAATTGGTGGAAAACTCAATAAATTGTTCCATACATAATTGTTTTTGTATCGAATGTGAAATACTATTGGAACTGAAGGGTCCCCGTCCCAACGGACCGTGTTAAGTTCCGTTTAAAAATAACAGTAGCACACCGTTGAACAGGTACACTGTAGCTCAAATGCTTAGAGCGATAGTAAAACAAGAGGCCAAGAGGGCATGTATCGCTCACCTGGATATCTAAGCAATCATGGCAAAATATTCTCCAAATGAGATCCAATGGAATATGCCAGACCCCAAGGCCAATCCTTGTAGCATATCTGTATTAGGTTTGTCATGCCCAGCAATTTAATGTATGGTTATGGGGTGGGGATCTCAATTGCTTCCAAGCTGTGACTCAGAAACTAGGACCATAGGGTTGTGGCCAGACCCCAGGATCAATTCTAATATCATGACTGCATTCGTCTCTTTTTGCCAAGCATTTGTATTTATAGTGTTAAGGTGGGGATCTCAACCGTTTCAAAGTTATGACCCAAGGATTAAGTCTGCAAGGGTGGGGTAGACCCCAAGGCCATCCTGGAAGCATATGTGCATTCATTTCTTTACACTCAGCAATTGTATCTATGGTTATAGGGTGGGGATCTCAACTGTTTCAGCCCCACCATTTGTACAATTTGAATCCTTGCCTCCCATGAATGCTTCCGACCAAATATGATCAATATCCATGGCATAGATCTACAGAGGTCGTTTATAGCAATATAGCCGAATTGTCCCCTTTTGGCCCCAGCCCTCAGCCCCCCTGGGGGGTAAGCCCCACCATTTGTACAATTCTGAATCACCACCACCTAGGGATGCTTCCAGTCAAATATGGTTGATATCCATCCCTTAGTTCAAGAGAAGTCGCTTAAAGCAATATAGCCAAATTGACCCCTTTTTGCCCCGCCCCTCAGCCCAACCATTTGTACAATTTTGAATCCCCACCATCAGTCAAATTAAGTTGAATTCCAATCAGTGGTTAACAAGAAGTCGTTTAAAAAATATGTTGATGCACGGACGGACGACGGACGGACGGCACGGTATGGCATAAGCTCACCTTGGTCCTTCGGACCCGGTATAATCTGAGGTCCAGGGTTTGAACCCCGGTCTAGCCAGGCTGTATTTTTACACTCAGAACATGTCATCTGTATTACTTCTCATAAAAGTCACGCAAAGTACGATATTTTCTTTTCAGAAATGATTAATCAATGCTATAGTCCTACCGGAGAAAACAGTTTCGAGTACTTAGTTTCTATTTTTGGCAGTGGTACAAGGATCTTAATTGAAAAGAAATAAACCCCAACGTAGTCAGTTTCGACTGTTAATTATTATAATTATATTCATGACGGCGTACTTGTATATGGCAGCATGAACGCAGTTGGCAACAAGATTATTTTTTATGAAGAATGTGTTCGTTACCAACTGCGTTCATGCTGCGGTAAGAAAATCAATCCTCTAACAATCATTTCTGTTAAATGTTTTGATAGTCCCGTAGAATAGGTCGTTACCCTACAAGAAATAGTTGTAATTTAAGTCTAAGTATAACAATGCATACATGATAATCTATCATCACAAATTTGATATTCTTTTTCTCCCATAACATGCTAAGTGTGATGCTACCTGCTGATGCTATTTAACACCTACAAATTACCCCAAAAATACTAAGTGATAAAACCTACACCAGTTATGGAAGGAAAAATCGTGACCCTCAGACAAAGTTACCAGCAGTGAGGCCAATCTGCAAAAATGTTCTTATCAAAAGTAGTAAATAAATGAGATCCCATCGATAGGGCAAGTCAAAGAGGCCAATTCTGGTAGTACATGCATATTTGTATCCAAAGCTGCATGCTCAGCAAAGGCAAAAAGGGTCATGGGATGGGGTTCTAAACCATTTCCATTCTATGACTCCTTGATCCGAGACCCAGTGAGCGGGGGCGGAACCTGAGGTCAGTCCTGTTTGCATATCTCTATTCCGTGCAAAGCAAATGTACCAATGGTTATAGGATGGAATCTCAACCGTTTCCATTTTGTGGTCCAGAAACTACACACTGCTATCCCGATACAACGAACCAGAGCAGGCACAAATAACAGTCAAATTTATCAAGTTAAGGAGGGCTAGTCAAGGTGATGAGAAAATTTACTTAGACATTAGACTTTATTTCAGTTTATTTATCGATCACTTTAATGACTGAGCGAAAATGACTTCGCTGAAGGTATCTGATGAGTCGTCATTTAACTTTTTACACCGTTTCATTTTCGGTAATATTTGCACTTGTGTCATCATAAAACGTCTTCTGTTCTTTCTTTAACTATTTCACAGCTAGTAATGATTGGTGACATCTACTGAAGACATTGTTGGGCTTAAAAAACAGGGGGTCGAGCACAAATGAATGCGGAGTTGTTCCGATTGCCCCCCTCCCGAGGGTGGTCAGTCCCTACATTTGTACTATTTTGAATCCCCATCTTTTGCGAATGCTTACAACCAAATATGGTTGATGTCCATCTCTTAGTTCCTTCGGAGTAGGCTTTGAAGCAATATGACAAACTTGCCCCTTCGTGGCCCAGCCCCCAAGTCCGAGAAAGGGGGTTAGTTGCTGTATTGCTTTAAATGAGATTTCTCCTCTACTTGATAACATACAATATATCGCAATTCCGACTGAAGGGCGATTTTAACACTAGGCACACATGGACTTAAGATTTTATCGACAAAGGGTGAATATTTCACTGGGCTTATTTTTCCCAGTATATAATATACTTTCGTACTGGTAACGGTAAACTTTACATCACGACTGTACACGGAAAACTTTCGCCAATAAAATGTTCGCCCTTCACAGATAAAACCCTTATTCGCTCCTTCTCACGTAATTACCTTATATAGTCTATAGCGTAGTATTGTTCGCTGTCATGATAAATATGCCCTTGTTGCAGAGGGTTAACAGGTGAAAATATTGTGGCAAAAATTTTCGGATGCAATGACGATGAAAACGGAGATAAGTTTTGAATAGAATTGGCAAATAGAGGATTTTCCCAAAAAATGCAATGGCTTTGTCTAAGTCGTCGTGTATAAAGTTACCGTTATCGGAAATAGGAGGAATATGTTTTGTTTTTTTTTGCTTGAGTTAGACATAAGACAATTAACAATCTTCCACCATTCTTTGCTACTGGTATAAGTATGGTTAAGCTTCGTACATAATTTGTTAAAATAATCACGTTTGGATTTACGAATGACATTTATACACATGTTACGAGCTTTCCTAAAATTCGACCGGTCGTCAGTATTCTGTGACTGTTTGGCTTTGCGGTGTATATACTTACGTTTACGAATCAATTTTCTAATTGCACTATTCATCCAAGCAGCATCATTCGCTCTTACAATTATATCTTTATTAGGTATGCACTCATTTGCAATTGTAAGTAAATAACGTGTAAATTGCTCTGTACTTTTGTCTATGTTATTAATGTCGAAAGTGCTGTCCCAGTCAACTTTAGAAAGTCTGTCACGATATTCGTCGAAGTTGCCGAGGTCATATAGCCATACCTTACGTTTAAAACTGGATTTTAGGGGTTTTGAAATGTTAAGAGTGCCATACACGGGACAATGAATTCTAATAGGCTGATCGAGGAAATGTTCACCGGCATGACACATGTTTACTAAAGAAGGATCACTTGCGCAAATTATATCTAAAAGGGAGGAAAACGATTCAGTGAAGAAAGTAGGACTGACAACGCTTTGTGTAAGATTTACAGTATATAGTAAATTACGTAGGTGTAGACAGTGATTAGTGTCACTTAGTAAATTTGCATTGAAGTCACCAGTTACAGTTATATTAGAGATTCCGGTACTGAATGCAAGATCTATAGAATTGGCAATGTGATCCCAGGAAGAAACTGTTGCATCGGGGGGCCTGTAGATAGTCCCATATAAAATGGACCTTCCAGAAATATTTAGCTGCAACCATACACACTCGACTGAGGGTAACTCTAGGTCGGGTCGACGTTTAGAGGAAATTTCATTGCTTACATATACTGCCACTCCTCCTCCTTGCCTATTGGGTCTGCAGTAACAATAAGGGGGTGCAAAACCAGGAAAGTTAAAATCAGAAGTTATCTCGTCAGGACTAAGCCACGTTTCGGTAAAGGACAGGATAGTTATATTATGTAGTCCACTAAAAAGGATATCAAGTTTTTGTTTCAAACTTTGGACATTCAGGTGCACAAAAGAATAGTTGGCGTCATTAAATAAAGTTGAAAAATAAGAAGAACATGATGAAACCGAGGATAGATCTGATTCAGACTCATTTGGCCCAGGGTTACTGTCAACATCACCAGAGAGAAGGAGCAAAAATCTAATTATTAACAAAGTGATACATAGCTTGGTAGAGAGAGATACAACACTCTTAAAGGGACATCACGTGAAAAGGCGTTTTTTTTAATGAATGTATGCATTGTATGCACTTCCACTTATGTTACCTCGCTATCCCCATATTCATAGTCCGTTCCAAATGTCCAGTTTGACCACTTGAATTGTTCGGGAAAGCCCTGCTAAAAATAGCGCCGATAACGTCACCTTACTAAGTATAGTACACAAGAGATGCGAGCGAGATGAAACGGTTTTCAAAGGGGCCCCAAGAGAGGGGCCGTCAGGCAACTGCAACTTCTTACCGCACTATGAAACCAAGTTATATGATTTCTGAGTCCGTATTCAAACTTATTGAACAGTAATTATTCATCATTAGAAGTAAATTGCACACTCGCCAATGTTCATAATTTAAATGTATATAGCTTTTAAACATAAATTTGTTGCCAATAAAGTTAAACAAGGGATGGGGCACACGTTTTTACAATTTATCACAGCCTTCTCCCGTCATCCATTTACAATTAAATGTCAACAATGATAATAGGCATAAACATAAAGTGGATATATTTAAATATATATTGAATTTAGTACCGGAATGTGGCCGGTACAGATGGTACGGGGCCAAACACCTTCCCTACACAAAGGGACAAACCTTT